ACAACTCTGCTTCCACACACAAGCAAATATGTATATACCTATACATATTTGTTTGTGTGTGTGTGTGTCTGTCTGTCCGAGTATTTCAACTCGGCAACCAAGCATGCTCCGGTGTTGGAATTTTGCCAGTGATTCCCCTGCCAACTGCCAACCCAGGACTACGGTACCAACCTTAACGCGTGTTTGAACTCCGCGCACGAGTACTTTAAAATTTTGGCAAGAAAACTGCTAGTTCAAGAATCAGAAAAACTGGAAGGCCATTCCCCGTCTGAACGCAGTTCGAAAAATTCAAACTCAGATATGCGTGGTTCTCATGTACAAACGCGTGAAAGTCTTGGCGCGAAAGTATGCTCATTTGAACAGCCTGGTCAGTTTCAAAGAGCGACCGTTCGACTGTAATTGTTCTTTTCTATGCGTTTTTGCATACATACAAATACAAAAACGCAAATTGTGACGACCCCGGTGTGTGTATGTGTGCGCGTGTGTGTGTGTGTGTGTGTGCGTCTGTTTGGTGATTTCAACTCGACAACCAAGCAAGCTCCGGCGCCAAAGTTCTGCTAATAGGTTCCCGGGCCAAATGCTATTCTAGGATCGTGGCACCGACCCCCATGCACGTCTGAGCGCAGCATGCAAGCACGTGAAAGTTTTGGTGGGAAAATTGCTAACTCGGGAAACAGGAAAGGTGGGGGCCGAAATTTTAAAGGGAATTTTCCAGCCCACGTACAACCTAATGATTTCAAATTCAGCCCCCAGGTATGCCCGCGTAAATTTTTGGCGAGAAAATTGTTAACTCGGGGCCAGAAAAGACAAATGGCTGAAATTTTGAGGGAATTTCTCCTGACCAAGTACTGTGTAGTTCCACAGTTAACTTCCTGGACTTTGAGGACTAGTATGCCATAAATCCTAGCTACTGGGATTTCAAGCAATCTTACAACAGCACGAAATACTGCAAAAACGCGTGATCGCGCGGGCCCGCCCGGTGCGCGTCGCCAATGAACTCTTATGTTGGCTGAGTTGATTTACGCTAATGAGTGCACAAAGTAAATACAAGC